TAAAATCGATATATAACACTTTTATCGATATATATCGATATATTTTAAACGATATATATCGATTAAGTGCTATATATTGATTTATATCTGTATATAAATTTTGCTGATGTATGCAAGAGACAAGGTGCTCTAAACAATGTAGAATGCATATTGAAGATCTCGACACTTATAACAACATTAGAGATTAGGTATATTCGTATGTACATACGTAACCTATTAAATTAAATAACAGATAAGAGGTAAACATCTATTAATCCGAATAGACTATTTTAAATACTTAATCACTAGCTAAATTAATGTCTATAGTGTAGCTTGCTTTAAATATATTTTATTTTAGCTAAGTAGATGAATGAATGATATTGGTACTCAACATTTCAACACTAATTTCAAATAAAATAATGATTAACTTAGCATGTTTCGTTAAAAGTATTCATGTTCACAGATTTTTAATAAGTGGGTGCTTCATTTTCGTTCTTTTAATTTCATATTTTCATATCAATAATCAAGCCAAAATACTTCAATTGAAATGACATATTCCTGACAACCAAAACAATTGAATTAATTAAAAACATTAATGATTTCATTTAGCATATTTAATAAACATTTAAAAGTAAACCGCGATCTACAATCTTAAAGGTCGAAGGTATAGGAATGTATTTTGATGAAGTGGCACTACTCTAAATCAATAGCATGAGAATGAATTAGCTAAAGCTTTAAATATGCGTTAGATACGGTTGAATATCACGGATCAGACGAAATAAGCTAACTTTTACAACAAAAGAGCATTGAAGTTTGCTATGCTTACTGGTGTCTAATTTAGCTTCAATCAATCAACAAGTGAACATTAACTAATAAAATAATTTGTATTCAGGAGAGAGCATTTGCGCGTAATTTTAAATATACATGTGCATTCTTCTAATTTTCATTATTCAAAAAGTCAAAATCTTGAACCTAATACAGTAATATGTAATATAATATTCTCTAATACATGTTATACAAAGTGCACGTTATTTCAGAATGCGCATTGATAGTATTTTGAAACAAGATATACATACAATTTTCGAAATAATGCTTTTATGAGTATTATTTCGTAACAGTATTGTAAAACTAGAGACAAAATAAACTTAGTATACATTTCGCATGTCGCACGCGAGATCATATCGTGCGACTTCTCGTGAGCATTTCACTTCATCAAAATTTTCTGATCAAATAATTTATCTCGCGAAATATAACATATTTTGCTCAAGTCATACAAAATCGCGAGTATGATGACTGCGATGTGGCGTATGCATGTTAGCAAAACTATTGGGATTTGGGATTTGGAATTTGGGATTGGAGTTTGAGACAAATTTTACTATGTTTGAGATTGGGATTTGGGACAATTTTATTATGTTCAGGATTTGGGATTTTGGTGGGATTTTGAGAATTTATAGTTTTGCCAACATGTATAGCAGTTTTTATAATCCTACTAAAGATTATCAGGAGAATTGGCTAAGGTATATTTTTGAAAAGAAATTAATAGCTGAAGAGGTGCGAGGTACATCTCTAGGTAAAACCAGTTTTAAAAATAAAACCAGTTCTAAATTATATACAGGTGTTCACTTACACTCAATATTTAGTTTTACATTATTGTTGGTCGTATAATATATCGATATATATATTCAAAAAAATATATACATTTGCATAATGAATAAATGGTATAATAAACTTGTCTCTGAAGAGTCAGAATCATATATTCAATGAACTATAATTCAAAGAGACGATAAAAGTGTATTTGTTCGTGAAATTTCACATGAGTTAGAAGTTTTAGATCTTCATAAACTTCTTACACCTGTCGTAATACGAATTAATAAAAATAATTCCAATGCAAATGAACTTGCAGGATATTATGCATATCAACCAAAAAAGGATGAAACAATATGGGTACCTTTGCTGCCGAGATATACAATTTATACAAAAATTAGTAATAACTTTTTTAAACTTTCGATTATAAATATCAATAATCAATTAAATTATCGATGGTATTTTTATGCAAATGATGAAAGTTTTAAAATATTAAAAATAGTGGACAGGATAATATTTGTTTTAAGACTTGTTTTAATAAATATAATTGGTCTAATAATCATTCACTATTATGGTATTTGGGACTTACAGATAAGGCTAACATTCAATTCTTACAAGAAATAATATCACAAAAATATTCAAATATTTTTAATTGTTATTCACAAACCATAAAAGTGTTTAATTCTGAAAAAGCACTAAAAAATTCTCTTACCCGTATAAAATTTCAATTACAATCAGCTATAGAAACAGAAGAAATTCCTATAAAAAAAGGTATAGTTCTTAATAAATATGGAAAACATCTATCACCTCAAAAAACTCAAACCTTAATTGTTAAATATAACACAGTTAATAATGAATTAAACCAAGCCAAAAAAACTATTAAAAGATTAACAGAAAAAATTACCAACTTAACAAATTTACTAAATCAAGATACAGATTTATCTCATAATGAAACATTATATAAAACAGTTGATGATCTAATTGAAAAATGAAATCTCGGCTCAACAATTTTAGTAGACACAAAAAAATACTTATTATTAGTTCTCAAAAAACCATGTAGTAATTGTGGAAACTATTTGGCTACAAAACGAATTTGTCAATTAATAGTTGCGGGTTTTAAAATTAAATGCATTATTCAATATAAAGAATGTAAAACTACAATAGAAATTTCTAATGAAAAAAAGGATATATGTTTTTCAAAGGCCGTAGCTGCAGGTGGCCTAGGCGCTGGAACTTCTCGACATGCAATTCAAAGTTTTTTGGCAACTATTAGAATTACATCGCAGTGCTCTAAAAAGACTTACCATGACTATCAACGCTCTTTTTTCTAAAAATTATTGAATCAGCAAATTTATCAACAAATAATGCAATTATAAAATGCATAAAACATGTTGAAAAAGATCCTACTAACCAATTAAATTTAACTACATTAGAGCCAAATGATTATAAAAAAATACTTCCAATTAGTTTTGATGTATCTTGGTCACATGAAAGAAATGCAAACCAGGCTAATGGAGAATTTATATGCCATCTTGAGCTTGAAGATAAGATCAAATTAAAAAAAAAAAAAAAATAGTAAATATTTTTGGTTAGAACATCTATTTCTATCATGAAAATTTGCTATTTCCACTATTGGCCACAATTTATCATGACAATATGTTCGTCATGTTTATATAGATAAAAGCCATGTAAAAATACAGTAGAGATAGCAAATTTCCATATGGAACTAGGCATTTACTATTTTATTAGACAAATTATTTTATTAAACAAATAACTCTTGAGTTTTTTGTTTAAATATTACTATAAAAGTTAAGCACAAATACCCCATGGCTAGAGATGGGCATTCTGCATTATGTATATACATTATGCAAAACATAATGCCGCATAATGTAATGTAGACATTTTAAAATTTAAAAGTGTATGAAATTACTATATAATTTAATGCAACAAAATTTAATAAAATATTATATTTTATATCATATATAATACTAAGTGATATGCAGAACTAGTTAGTAATTTCCTACCTGTATAAAGCAGGCTAACTAATATGAAGTCTGAAAATAGTAAACTTTCATCTAGAGATAAGAAATATTGGGTATGAATCTTGCTTCTTGATTTTGGTAGAACACCATGATTGCATAATGTCGCATGCTGCATTATGTAGCATTATGCAATCCAGAGCCAAAAAAATATGCATTCGCACATCTCTACCCATGGCATGTCATAATGTTGGGAAATTAGACTATCTTTGTTCTAGATTTACAGCATAACCTAGAATGTTGAACTTATAGATTCTAATTGGAATTTATAAATACAATCAATCCAAATTATTGGACTTATAAAGGCACCCAATACACCTATTGGTCTTGAGGGTTTATCAGATATATTTAATATATCATCTCTATATAACATATCTAAGGTTGCTCTGAAAGTATTTTGACTTACTAAATTTAAAAGTTGAAAGTCTTACTGAAAGCCAAAAGTTTCAGAAAATATTAAAAAACTCTAAATGCTACTTATCACCAATCATTGCTTTTGACTTTTAGTGATCAAATTTTGTTCGAAAGCATTTTCAGAAGACTTTCGGTTTCAGTTTTGGTAAACTCCAAAAGTACCAACTTTCGAAGCAAGCCTTAGGTATACCTCATATAGAAGTATCCTGGGTACTCATGCTCAACTTTTATAATACTTACTGAAAGTCATCATTTCTGAAAGACATAACAGACAAAATTATAATATTGGTTGATTTTGTTAGAATTATGTTAAGAAATTATACTATACCAAAAAAAAATTAATTAAAAATAATTTTAATTTAAAAAAGATTATTATAAACCCATTATTGCCTTTCAAACTGTTCAAAAATCTTGAATATATAAAAATAAAAAAATAGGACAAGAGCATGTTATAATTTAAAGAAATCATAATCAAAGCTCTCGATATATGGAACATGCGATTCTTAATGCATTAGTTAGTAAAATAATCCCTATAATGGAGAAGAAAGATTTTTTAATTAATATATGTGTTGATGGTGACCTTGATACGAATAAAACTCTTGCCAAAATTTCAGTAATTAATCAAATTTTTGCGGACTTAAAGCATGTAACAAAAAATATAAGAAAAGCATTAAGTAAATTATATTTCAATATGTATAATTTAAATATAATATAACTATTCTAACTAACTTTAAATTTAGCCTCTAAAATAAATTATCATTGGCATTCGTATAAACAACATATCATGAAACATTTTACGAGCTGCATTTTTGAGGCTGGTTTGCGAAAAAACCTTCTGAAGGAGAATTAAAAGAAATGCAAGTTGAAGGCCTTATTAATCATTTATGTAATAATCATACTAATTGTTGGCCACAAGTATGCTGGATTCGTAATAATCCTGAAATCGTTTTACCAGCACCTACACTTCAAGGAATGTCCAATACTGATATTGAAAATTTTTGAACTATGCTAAACTCTATTTTTCGTTTGCCTAAAGGGCAAGGACTAATTACAGATATTAGAACTTCAACAAATGAGGCATTCAATAAAGTAAAGCTTGTTTACCTTGATAAAAAGATTGATTATTAGAGTTCTTTTGAGGCCCAACATGCATTAGCTATTCTTCATTATAATGAAGGTTATTTAACAGTTTTGCAAAGTCTTCGGGAAAGCTACACTGATATTGAATTTTGTAAAAAAGACCTTAATAATATTAATAAAATAAGTAATAAACGAGAAAACCAATGATCACAAAACAAAGCAACAATCAGAGATCGAAATGAGGCACAGGCTAAAAAATATGCAAATGATAAAAAAGAATTAACTGGATTTAATTTTAACCAGATAAACTAAAATTACTATTTAGTACCGCTTATAAAATTCCATAAAATAGTATCCCTCATAATTAAAATTAGATATATTTGTTATAAGCGGAAATTTCATTCCCGCTTATACACATAGTACCCAGGATATAACTGATTTATTCCCTGCGATCTTGATATAGTGACTAGAGTATAAATTACCCTATCAGCCTAATTATCTTTGGAATATAATTATATTGGTTTATATAATTTATATTCGCTTATAGCATCCGATTCTATACAAATAAAATTTGAATAAGGTCCAGGGTATTCAGCAGTGCTAAATGGTATATGAGATTTTTACTAACAAAAAGACCTTTTAGAACAATGTAAATCATAATTCCAAAGAGTCGTTTTGTTAAAAAAGATCCTATATTAAATAATATAAAAATTACTTACTTCGATATAAAATTTATTTATAAGGAATTGATTCCATATAAACATTATACAGAAGAGTGGCTGCAAAATCATACTTATTATCCATCATTTGCACCCCTAATACATGATTTTGAAAGCCATATTAGATGCAAAGGATGTTATATATTTAAGAAATATGTATTAGCTGGATACTGTGAATTGTGTTGGACCTATATAACCCTTGGTTGGTGGGATCGAATTCTCGATGAATCAGAAAGAAACACTAATTTAACACATTCGCTGATTTCACTAAATAATACTATATCATTAATTGCTACTAAAATATTTAACTTTAAAAATATACATGAAAATCAACAAAAAACAATTATAAATTACTATGAGAATAAAAAGGATATATTTTTAATTATGAAAACAGGAGGTGGAAAGTCATTCTGTTATATCGCATTCGCTATTATATTTAATGGTTTAACAGTAGTTATTAGCCCATTAACGGCATTAATAAAAGGTCAAGTAGTAAGTATTAATTAAACCTAATTATAAAAATAATCGATAATTTTATTAATTTGATATTTATAATATTACTTATCTTCAAGATAGAACTAATCAATCATGGAATACCTTGTGCTAGACTTTGGACATCATCAATGAAACTGTGACTCGATATGAAAAAATTTTTCATGAAATAGCACTTGGTTGGACTCGAGTTTTGTTTATCACCCCAGAAAAGTTGGTTTTAAATAAGACAATTAAAAGTTTGTTTAAGTGGCTATATGATAATAAGAAAATACAATTTGTTGTAGATGAGATCCATTGTGTACTTGATTTTGCGCACTTCAGGTAAATTCTAATTATTAACATCATGGCAAATTTATGAAATTAGAGTATTTTGAATAACTATGAAGTGTATAATTTACTATTTGTTTTTTGCCTTTCTTATTGTAAATTCACATAGATAATGTCTAACTTATCTTCCATTAAAAGATGGAATAAATAAAAAATGTTAAAAAAACAAATAGTAAATGATGCATTTCATAGTTAATCAAAATACTCTAATTTTATAAATTCACCACAATAATAGATTTAAAAATTGTAAACATAAATCTAATATAAGCAAACCAAAGAGACTCTTGGAGTAAACTAGGTATTTTGAAAGAACGATACCCTCTTGCGCCTATATTAATGCTAACGGCCACATGTGCATATGATGATATGCAAGAGATTAAGAGAAGTTTGGGATTATTAGATACAAATTTAACCATTATCAGAAGCAGTGATCAAAAGAGAGAAGAGATTAAATAC